TCATTTGTAACCCAGGGACTGCCTGTACTATATTCCGCCCTCCTGGATCCAAGAATTATTAGATATGGAGGTTCTGTGAAAAGTTAAAAGTACAGTATCAGCCAGGAATGGTGGGTCATGCCTGTAATCCTCACATTCTGGGAGAACAAGACAGGAGATCACTTCAGTTCAGGCATTCAAGACCAGCCTGAGCAAAAGCAAGACCTGTCTCTCTAAAAATTAAAAAAAAAACAAAAAAACAAAAAAACGCTACGTATGTGTTGGGTGATCACTTGAACCAGGAGCCTAAGGTTGCTGTGAGCTAGGCTGAGGCCACAGCACTGTAGGCTGGCAACAGAGTGAGACTATGTCTCAAAAAAAAAAAAAAGTGCAATATTCACAAAAAAGGTACTGTTAATGCATCACCCAATATATAAAGTGCATATACGATACAGGGTAAATAGAATCAAACATGAGAAATAAATTCAAACTAATTTAAAAAGCTACATTTAAGGGTGGCACCTGTAGCTTAATGGGTAGGGTGCCAGCCTCATATGCTGAGGGTGGCGGGTTCAAACCCAGCCCCGGCCAAACTGCAACAACAGCAACAAAAAAAACAGCCGGGCATTGTGACAAGAGCCTGTACTTGGGAGACTGAAACAAGAGAATCGCCTAAGCTCAGGAGTTGGAGGTTGCGGTGAGCTGGGTGATACCATGGCACTCTACCAAGGGCGACAAAGTGAAATTCTTTCTCTACAAAATAAAAAAAAAAAGCTATATTTAAAATTTATTTATAAGAGTTAGCCAAAAGAAAGGAATCATATATGGTTTTTATGTAAAAGATTGATGTCTGAATTCTTAATTATTGAAATACAATAATTATTAATTTTTTGTATTTTATGTATGACTCTACAAATATCTACAGTCTTTTTTAAAAACTATTACCTATTTAAGTTTCTAATTTTTATTGCCTATTTGTGTAGATCTCACTTAAGATAACTGACAATGATAAGGAACAGGACTGTCTGGATTCTCTGTCTAACAATAATTATGTAAATCATTTTACAGATATTTCATATGCACAGTTGATTCCACTATATAATTAAACAGCAAAAATAGCAGTTGATTCATTTTAGTAACACTCAAAATTTAAACACTGTATTTACTGAACTGAATACAAACTGAGAATAAATGCTTTATAATAGATGGCTACTTTTGTAAATAAGATGCACTGGGTGACTTGCTTACATTACTTTTAAATGTTGTTCATAAAATCAGAAAGACATACCAAAATTGAAACAAATGACCTGATTTTTGAAAACTAGAATAGTCTTAAATAAATAAACAACCTAGTCTTCTATGGTCACAACAAAGAATAGTCCATTAACAATAATCAGAATTGTGAAAATTATTCACATCAAGCACATTGTGTTTCAAATCTTAAAATTACTAAGTCATGATGAAAGAGGAGAGGATATGTATTAACTATCTGAAAGTGTTTAAAACCTGAAACTTACCAGTCTTTAACTACAGGAGAATGCTCTAAAGCTTTATTGTTTTATAAACTGTAGAAATATTAAAACAGAAAACAATGGAGTTTAACACTACAACCACTCTACATATTACAGAATGGTTTCCATATAAAGCCAGTTAGAGTCAGTCTTTAGTCACAATAGTTTCAATCATAGGATAACTATAAAGATACTAAATAGTCTAAATATTAGATTCAAAATATATGGAATACTTCGAGCCATCTCTAACATAATGACTTCAGTTGTTGTATTTCAGCACATGTAGAATATCCTATCTACAGATTCTGCAGGATCTTCTTGCCAGTCTTAAAATGGAAATGCTATAAGGACATCATGATAGCATCAACAATACTGTCACTACTTTGGGGGAAATCATCTTTAATTTTATCTCTGATCACCTCCAGACAAAGCACTTTTTACTATTTCTCTCTATATTCTTCCCAAGACCTAATTTATGAGGCCCTGAAGTATAGCAAGCATTCAAATATATATTAGCTGAATGAATAAAGGGATGATTAAAGACATTTTATACAGAACATCTAAATTAGATTTTTGGTTTTTTACTCAGAGTTCCTAAAATATAGATGTGCATCATATATACAACAGCTATCCCAAAACATCAGCAATGCTCTAATTTTACCAACTCTCAATCTTATTTCATGATCTCACAGAACTAATGTTATCTATATGCTAAATTCTCTGAACTGCTTTCTCTAACTCTATTTTTTTATGTGCTACTCGAAAACGGGTATTGGAAAGCAAATGAGAGTGATACTCATATAAAGGTGGCATTAAGATAGCACCTACACACAATCATTACATACTCTTTACATATATTACAATTACAATATAGATCTATTACATATACATTATATATATTACATTTACATTTTGCCTCCTCATGTGTACATATGTGTGGGTATGTATATTTACCAAAGGATGGTACAATATAAATTTAGGTGACCTACTTATCCAAGGTTGGTTTGTAGACAATCTGTGATATGAAATAACACACTTCCTGTATCCTAAAAAGACCCATCAGTATTCTCTCCTTACCACCACCTTTCACTCACCCATCATAGGCCTCACACATTTTCACATGCCAGTAAACAATGTTCTGCTAAGATTGAGTTTAAAATTCCTTAAGTGAGGTGCTCCATAGAAAACAAGGTTCCACAGGTGGAACATAATTCTCCCATCATTTTAAGGATATGACTCTCATTCAGAAGATAGCCATCTTGATTCAAATTCTCCCAGAAGCTGATTTTGAGATAAGATTGAAGCATAAGTAGCTTATTTGGGGATGATCCCAGAAAATATCAGTAGGGAAGAGGTCAGAAGCCAATAATGCTTGCAGTAGTAAACCAGTCATCACTCTGAGCAAGTGGAGTTCACGCCCCTTGGACCCAATATAGACCGTGCTTCAGAATCATCCCAGCCAAGAAGCACAGGAAGCTAACATATTTACTCCCTAATTACTAGTGTGCTCCTCAGATTGGTAGGGGGTTGGGAAAACCTCAGGTGGAAGGGGTTCAGAGAAAGTGGCCTAGAGAAGCTGGGCAGAGCACTAAATTTATTTGTTGTTGGAAATTAGCTACCTATTCCTATATGAAAGAGTGCTTCCTTCTCAATGCTATAGAAATTGAGTCCAAGAAGAAAACTGAGTAGAATCAGATTACTATTAAGGTTTAATTACAAAGAGGAATTTATAGCCACATTAAAAACAAAGGAGCTGACTTTTATTTACTTATTTCATATTAGTTTAGGATTTTGAAAAGAAATAAAAAAGAACTACAAACTGCAAATCAGAAAAAAGGAAGGAAAATAACACTGAATGAATACCTAAACTATGCTAGGAGCTGTGAAATTATTCTTATAAATTCAAATGAATTAAATAGAAAGAACTTAAGAGTTTGTTTCTTGAGGGATATAAATCACAAAGAACTGAGCTCAAGTGATCTTTACACTGGTAAGATCTATTACCCAAGATAGGTATTAATCTCCTAGAATCTCAGTTTTATTGTCCCTAAAGTAATCACCAACCATTCAAGGTTTGTATGAGGATTGACTAAGGTAACATACAGCACTTGGCAGTGCTTAGTCCCAACTAAGTGTTAGTCCAGTCCATGCTCCTCCTCCTCACAATTCTATAAGGTAGATAACATTATTCCCATTAAAAACATAAACAGTACTTATTTTCAAAATGGCTGAATGATTTTTCCTGAGATCACTCAGCTAGTGGGAAAATAAGCAAGGAATGAAATCTAGGACTGTCTGATTCCAAAGCTCTTGCCTTCAAAGATTAACAACAAATGGAACCAAAATCAAATATTAATTTTTCATGAAGCCTCAATTTTAGACAAAAATGTTGGGCTAACATAGACTTTTAAAAGAAATTTTAAATGACTGTGCAAACTTTTTAAATATAGAAGTGATTTATTTCATTTAATTAGTATGAAAGTAGCCAAATTTCTTAATTACTGAAATATTTCTGCATGATCTTTGGAAAAATGAGGGCAAAACTACATGAACAATTAACATCTTGGATAGGATATGATATTTTAAAAAATCAACCACCACCATTATCTCCATCATCAAAGTATGTCCTCTACGTATTCAACCCATCTCACACTTTCCACGATAAGGAACTTCCTCTATATGATGATCCTGAGACCTTCACTAAATACAAATTCAACCACTATGACCATGACGCTATCCTATGCTTGTTAAACTGTTTATCTAGGCAAATACTGTTTACATGAATGTCAATACAAATCTGCTTAACTATTCTTTTCTTTCCCTTCAATTAACCAGAACACCTTACTTTACAAGCATATTGATTAATTAATATTTGTATTTAAATTTATAACCAAATATAGGTAGTTTTGCCTTAAATAATAAGACTGGTTCAAAATATTATACTCTACAAAATATTCATACTTCTCTAAATTACTAACATGTGACCAAAGAAATCCACACAGTTGATGCCCAAGATAAAAATCCTCAGTGTGTTAAGACAGGAGTTGGTAATGGGAGCTGAGAAGGTGAAGAAAAGAAACAGGGAGTATTGCCAAGTAGTGAATAGGCAAGAAATTTTGGAATGGACCAAAAATGGATCTTTTATACTGTAAATTAAAATAGAACATCGATACGATACCAAACTGAACTTCAAGGAAACATTTCATTGAGTTGAAAGGTCAGTGGGCATTACACATATTATTTAATAAGAAGGCACTGTACCATGTGATACATGAAATGACTACTCCAGAAACTACGAAATTGACTAAAACACAAAACGTGTTTTTTTTTTTTTTAATGAGACAGAAACAGAGGAATTTCAGAAGTTTACCCAAAGCAATGATGCTATACGCAAAGCACATAAGGGACATTTTGCTAATAACAGCCTAGTTTTGAAACTTAAGTTTTAATTTTGAGGCATATATACTGTTTAAATTCAAAATACACTAACTATGAAAAGGGTATAGCATGATATACAAACACCATAATTAACAATTGTCACACTTGCCTCTTCAAAGTGAGTATTTTCTATTGCAATTATTGCCATTTTCACAAACTACCTGTTACATATTTAAACCATTGTTTATCTAAGACTCCAAATGTTCAAACAGCATAAAACTCCTAGTGGCAAGTAGTCACCTAATCAAGACAACACAAATAAGGAGAGTGTAAACGGATGCAGAAGATACATCGTTTTTAATGTGTTTTTTCAATAAACTTGGACAGATTTTCGAGTTTACTTAACCACACCTAAGGAAAAAAAAAGGGAAATTATTTGCCACTGCTATAGCCATGCCATTGGGATCTATTGCACCTCTGATACCAGCCTTATACACAACCTAAGAAAGCACAGATAGACAAAAGAATAAGCACCGAATACGTGCAATAAATACATTCCAAGAATAAAAAAAGTGTGAAGGAAAGGAGTTCCTTGTCAATAGCAACTGTTCTACAGAGTCAAAATGGAGAAACCTTTGAGTCCCTTTCCCTCCGTTCCCTAGCCTCATAGTCTCCCCGTCTGGCTCCCGTTTCCTCTTCTCTCTCCTTTCCCCCGTTCAGCCCTCCCCTCATCTCCCTCTCTTTTTGAGCAGTTATTTATGGAGCAACCATGCGACGCACCACTCACCTGTCGTCGTTTTGCCATCCTTGGTCTCCTAACAGCAAATCTCGAAACCGGTACCTGGGAGGCAGAGGGGGCACTTCGCTCTCCAAATCAACCATCCTTCCTCAAAGAGTGGGAAACATCAAACAGCGAATGGAGGAGAGGAAGGCGAAAGAAAGAAAATATTGCGGAGTGGAGGGAGAGAACTAATAAAATGCTGGGGCCAAGCCAGGGGCGGGAGAAGGGGAAGGGGCCTGGGGTGGGGGGAGGGGGTCGGCTTTGAGCCGGAAGCTGAGGCTCTAAGGGGGACGGCTCCTCTCTCCTGAGGGTGTGATGGGGATGATGCAAACCAAGCCCAGGAGCAAAAGTCTGGCTCTGACTAGAATCAACGCTGCCAAGGAACCGCCCCCAGCCTCGGCACCGCCTCTGGTACCCAGGGCTGGGGGGGAGGCGGGAATAAAAAGTTACTTCGCCGAAAAAAACTCAGGGTGCCTAGAAAGAGGGGAGGGGGTGGGAGTGAGAGCCACGTGACGGTAAAGCACTTTCCTGAAAGGCAGGTAAAGGATCCTCCCCGAGGGCTGCCCGGCGGCCGCAGTTCCCTCGGACGCGCGGCGCGAGCGGGGGCGGTGGGTTTGGGCTCCAGACGCTGCCCACGCCGCGCCGCTCGCACTCGCCCCTCGGCGCTGAAGCCCGAGGCCCAGCCAATGAGACTCCCCCTCATTAGCATAACACGGTGACGGCATGGGGGGTGCCTTGGGGACAACCAATGGGGGCGAGCTAATTAGTGGCTTTCCCGGGCTCCAGACCCTTCTCTGGGAGGAGGGGGCTCAGAATGCTCCGAGCGTTCCCGGGTGCAGCCGGCTCCCGCGCTTTGATCGCCTTCAGTTCGGGTGGGAGCGGTGAAGAATGCACGTTTCTGGAGAGGGAATCCCGCGCGCTCTCAGCCCGGGGAAAGTCCCATTTTTTTCTCACGTTCTGAAGGAAAGGAGGTATTTCCCTGAACTCAGGAAAAAATGAAGGGCCACCTTAGGCCGCTGAAGAGAAACACTGAGAAGCTAGGTGATGCCTGGCAAGGCACATGGAACGCATTGGAGAGTAAGTAGTGATAAGTTGGCGTTGCTGCTGTCGCTGCTTCTAGCAGTGCTGTGGGCTTCCAGGTGGCCTGGCCTCAGCCTTCAGCCCCCTTCTATCAGCAGTTCACGCGGCATGAAGTGCTGCTCTTGAGAACCCTGACACACAACCGCTAGTTCTGTTTTCACATAGTGTTTTTTCCTTCAAGAATCGGTTTCATCACATACAGACAGGATCCCCGTCACCCAGACTGGGCCTGAGAAGACAAAGGACGGGAGGACTGTATCACTGTCCCTGCCTTAAATAGGAGTCTCACAGGTTTGCTTGAAGAAGCAAGCTTAATTAAAAGAAAAAAAAAAAGAGATACAATGTGAGAGTCAATCAAAGCATCTAGAGAGTTCAAAATACCTGTGAGATAAACACACATTCATAGTGGGAGTCAGGGAGGACATTGTAAATGAACTGAACTTTCTATATTCATTTGCACCCAACGTAATAAGGGAAGGGAAAAAGTATGAAGCAAGCAGAGAGACACAAAGTACAAGTAGACACAAAGTGATTTTTAAAAATGTTTGACTATGTGGATAATAGTGATTAATTTGGTGTGATTCATTTTCACTGAAAGTCATGTAGTGGAGAGTTTATAAAGAAAATTAGAGGGCTCGGTACCTGTAGCTCAAGCGGCTAAGGCCCCAGCCACATACACCAGAGCTGGAGGGTTTGAATCTAGCCCTGGCCTACCAAACAACAGTGACAACTACAACCAAAAAATAGCCAGACGTTGTGGTAGGCGCCTGTAGTCCCAGCTACTTGGGAGGCTGAGGCAAGAGAATCGCTTAAGCCCAGGAGTTGGAGGTTGCTGTAAACTGTGACACCATGGCACTCTACCCATGGCGACAGTTTGAGGCTCTGTCTCAAAAAAAAAAAAAAAAAAGAAGGAAAGAAAAGAAAATTAGAGGCTGGGGTGGTAGCTCACACCTGTAATCCTAGCAATCTAGATGGCCAAGGTAGGAGGATCGCTTGAAGTCAGGTTGAAGCCAGGAGTCCGGACCAGCCTGTCTAGTGTTGTCGCTGATGCTGGTAGTCGGAGCTATTCAGGAGCTGGAAGCAAGAGGATCGCTTAAGTCCAGGAGTTTGAGGTTGCTGTGAGCTCATTGGGGGGGAGGGGGGGGAACAGAGAGATGGTGGAGGAGGAAAAAGAAAACTGGAAATAATAGAGATTTGCAGAAAATATAGACTCAAATAAAATACAATGAATAACTAAACCTGAGGAGTGATAGTTACACGTGAATAGTCACACCTTTAGTCTCTGTCTTCAAAGTTCTATTTCTTTTTTCTGGATCCATCTTAAATGACATACCCACCATTAAATCTCCTAATTCTTACAGCTATTTATGATGATTTCTTTCTTTGAACCCCTTCCTTTAAATCCTGCATACGCCTATGAAACTTTGGTTGTAGTGTTTATGACATCTCTTCCCCTGTCCTTGTGCCTTATTTTTCTAGCACAATGCCTTCCAAATAGCCATATCACAACAAATGTGTGTGGAGATGCATTAAAAGCTATTAAACCTTGGAAATTAATATTGTTCTACATTTACTTTAGCTCCAGAGTAATGTGTTTGTTTACGAAATCATTATTTAGCATAAACTTTTGTAATCACTTTGCCAAATGAGGAAGTTTTATTACTGCATTAGTTTATTCAGACAGAGAAAAAACAAGTAGGGATGGGGAAGGAGAGAAGGAAATATGATTTATATTTTAGAGCTTATCATCTCATATTAAAATGGGGTTCCAGGTTAATATTTATATTATTGTAGTCTGCCTTTATATATTTGGATGACTAAAAATATGAAATATTTACGTATCATAGCCAAGACACTAAAAAAAGCAAAAAATGGCTACTGATCGTTAGACTCCAGAAATGCTGAAGGTTAAAAGAAACCTGTGCACCTTTATTTACAACTTTGTGGCAATCTCAGTTGTTTGGCTTCTAAGTGCCAAGATAACACTTTGTTAGGTGAGAGCAAGGAGTATGTTAAAAAGAAAAAAATAAATAAGTAACCCCTGCTTAGCTAATAGTGTCACAGCCTAGCTATTAAGGATACAAATGGTACAAAGTTCCCTAACGTACTAAGCCAAAGCTGTTGGAAATCACTGCATTGATAATACATTGATTTTCTGTGTGACCTAAAATTGTTGACAAAGAAAATATCTTAAAATTCTAAATTTAAGAAAATTACATTAATGCAATATAAGAAAAATTCTTTGTCACTTTTAAAAGTCAGCAAAATTTGGGCGTTGGCACCTAAATTTATAATTGGAAGATCGTTTTGCTCTCCCTTATATTTTTTTCAGTTGTCAGTAGGCAGACATTTTATTTTTTGTCATTAATTTGGACTTTCACTTCTACCACCTGTCTTTCTGCACTTTTATTCATTTTTTTTCTTGTCATGTCATGTCACTCCCTGCTGCTAAAATATATTTTCCTCTTTCATACTTTTTACCTTGGTTTTCTTTTTTCATTGTGCTCTTTTGGTCTCCTACCTCATAGAGATTTTTTTTCTCTCAGTATGTGTGAAAGCTTTTGTTCTGCTATAACGTGAGATTCAATTTTTGGAAATAATTTTAAACTTGGTTCTAAACATTACAATTTTTTAGCTTACTCACTGGTATTATTAAATCCCCTAATCAACATCTACTATACTTAAGAACAAGAGAAGAGATTGCCCAAAAAATCCCTTCCAAAAGCTCCTGAATGATTATTCTCATGAGATAGAGAGTAAATGTTTAAAAAAGAGGATTAAGGAGGATGATTCTCTAGTTCTAGAAATTTTATTATCTTTTAGAAAACACATTTAAGTATATCTAATAATTTTTCTAATTCTTTCTAACAAAACAAAAAAAAAAACCTTTTTATAAAACTCTCTGATTTTCAGTACACTGATTGCTGATATGAATGTTTAAACATAAAAAGAAAAGATTCATTCCTATGGGTGAAGAATGATTTTATTAATAATTAACAAGCTATTGATACTTATCTCATGAATAATGAACATAGTCATACTCCTAGATAGGAATTTTTACCCAGAACTCAAAAAGTATGTGTACATCACATATATTATTTTTATGACAAACTTTCTCAAATTGTCAATGAACATATTTATGTAGACCTGTAACAACTACTTTAAAACGAAAATTAAAAATAAAAAAAACTATATGTTAGAAAGCCTACTTCATAGATAGATAGTCTGTGAAGGCAAACAATAAGATGATCAACATCCACTCAGATATCATCTCAGCATGAAGGTGGATGCATGTTCTACTGCTTTTTTTTAATAGAAATGTATTAAATGTCTACTATGAATTAAACTTCTCACAGTCTGATGAGTGAGGGGGGATAATTACAGGAGGATAGACAATCCAGCAGTTACAGTAGAATGTGGTGGATCTCAATGGTGACTAGTACTGGCTACTCTTTTGCTAAGGAGCACATAGAGGCATATAATTCCAGTTTTGGAAAATCAGGGAAGGCTTTATGGAAAGCCTAATATCTATACTCAAGAATAAAAAATGAATGGGTGAATAAGGTGGCAGCAGAAGCAAATAAAGTATATAAGTACAAATATAAATACAAAAAGCATAGAGGATTCTAGAAAATGACAAAGTATCATGAACTTGGATCTGGAATATGTATTTAAGTGGGCAGGGGAAAGAGAAAGAGGGAGAAAAAATAGCAAGAAGGTTGGCGCCTTTATTAAGGATCACATCTGAGAAGGCTTGTGTGTATTTACCACATCTATGAATTTGGGTTTTAACTTGGACACAATGATGAATCTCTTGAGGATATCATGAAGGTAAATGGCAAAGCCCAATTCAAGCTCCCTGTGGTGGCAGCATAGATAATTAATTAGTGAGGATAATAAGAATGGAAGTGGGGACATCATTTATGAGCTATACAGTATATTAGGAAAGATATACCAATTGTCTAAAATGAAGCAGTGGTTATAACACAGATGGAAAGGAGAGGACAGATTTATAGGAAATCAAGAAGACAAGACTTGATAATTGGGAGATTGTGAAGAATCAATGCTACTTGCCAGGTGGAGGATGAGTAAGTAGGTGGAGAGTATTTCTGTTGCATGAGATGGGAATATAGAAGTAGGTGCAAATGAGAAAATAATTACACTTTGAGCCATCTACAAAAGGTCAAATGGAGAATTTTAGAAGGTTCAAATAGGTCTGAATATCAGAAGCAAATACATTTCCAAACATAAAACTTGAAGCATCAATATATACATGTAGGTGGCAAGCTGAAACTGAAGAAGGATAAATATACCTGACTCTTACTCTGTGAGAGAAGAGGATGATGGAGACTGAACCCATGAGAGGTCTTAGGAAAAAGATGAATCAGAGAGGTGGGAACAAAGTCAAGTGGGAATTGGGGAATTCGACTTCTACCATCATAGGAGAAAGACTGTTTCTCTGTTTTCTTGATTAGTTTTGTCTTGACCTTTGATTCAAGCTCAAATAGAGTCTATCTACAGAAATAAAAATGTAACAAAACCTGTCCTACATTTTAAACATGTCTAGTTACATGAGCAGAATCACTTTTATTTCAACAACACTGAAAAGAAGAAGTGGTAGAAAGAAAATGAAAAACCAGAGTATCACAATTGAACCACAGATTCCACCTGAAAAACATAAGTGATAGAGTGGAAAGTCATTTGAAGATTTATGAAGATATTCCAATAATTAATACAACTTACTCCATACTTCCAGTATTTTTTTTGTCAGTCATTCTAAAAATAATATTTGTGGTCAAGGTGAAATATGTATGCAAACCTTGGAATGGATAACTATTAGGAGATAGTTAATGTTTTACTATTTTAATAGTAATATCCTCTGTCATCTTCCTTTTACTTCTTTCCATTTTTTCATAGCCCTCTCTACTCATACATGCTTTTCAGTATTACTCTTAATGATAACACAAATCACCTTCGTTTATCTGCTTCTAAATCTTCTTTATTGTAACTGAATTTTGAGGAAATAACATAGACCCAAAGGGGAAATCATTTAGTGTCAAATGCCATTTAGTAGCTGTGAAGTATGCTTCTTACAACAATCCAGATATCACACCTCCATTACTCTATCTACAACTATCTATAAAATGTACATCTTTTGGGGAGGAAAAAAAATCTCCGTCTAGTTTTGTGAACTCTGGTTTTCATCTTGGATCTTCCCATATTTTTGTTGGTAATGTTGCAAATTCTGCTCGTAGATAGATTAAAAGATGAACCCTTGCTCATAATCATCCTTCCACCCTAACCCCTGTCATCTCTGAATCTGCTAAAACAATAAATGACTACTACATCTTTGCATTTCTCACAATACTTGGCAGATCATCAATAATTGTTTAATGAGTGAGTGAGAAATTAAAAACAGTCAGTCCTACATATCTGCGTGTTTCCCATCAGTGGATTCAAGAAAACCTAAATCAAAAATAGAAAAAAAAAAAAAAAAAAATAGCAATACAACAATGGAAAATAACACAAATAAATATACTGTATGGCAACTATTTGCATAACATTTATATTGCATTAGGTATTGTAAATAATAGTATAGAAATAATTTAAAGTATATGCAAAGTACTTCATAGATTATATGCAAATATTATATCATTTATATAAGGAACTCAAAATACAAATTTTGCTATCTGCAGGGCCATCTGAAACCAATCTCCTGTGGACACCAAGGGACAGCTGTATTTCAATAAGGTAAGTCAGATCATTATTACTGTTGAAACATAAAAACATACAACTGGAAGTTAAATCTCGGTAAAAATAAAACTAGGAGGAGAAGAGGAGGATAGGTAAATTCACATCTATTGGGTGCAGCATACACTATCTGGGTGAGGGGTCACACTTATAACTCTCACTAGATCTGTAAAAAACCAAAGTATATAAATAAAGCATGTATACCCCTTAATATTTTGAAATTTAAAAAAGAAAAAACTTTAAAATGTCAATAATAGTAGGAAATAACAGTATAGATCAGTGGTTCTCAACCTGTGGGTCGCGACCCCTTGTTTACAATGAAAATACATTGTGGCATTAGGAATGTTGAGAACCACTGGTATAGATAATTATTATGTGTCAGGTGCAATGCTAGGAGATTTAGAGGAACTCCAAAAAATAAATAACATTGTCCTAATTTGAAATAGGAGAAAATTTAAGCTCAAAATATATCAGAAGAAGATGCTAGGTCAAGCATTAAATAGTTGATTTTCTAACTTCAAAGTACACGTCCTTCCCAACATATCTAAGAAAAAAATTCCATGTTGAGTTACTAGCAGATATTGATGTTTGCCAAGTGAGAATCTAAATCATAAATAAAACTATAAATGTTTCCTATTACCATCCTACTTATCCACTATGCTCCAGCCTTAACTTCCTTCAGTTGTGCCGTGATTAGAGGGATGGAACTTTCAACCTATCACCCAGCCTCCAGGGAGGGAATAGGGGCTGAAAATTGAGTTGGTCAACAGTGACCAGTGATGCAATCAGTCATTGCTAAGTAATGAAGCCTCCATAAAAACCCAACCAGGATGTGAGGCTATCTTTCAGTAGAAAGTATCAAATTGAGTTAAATTATAGGACCCCCAGTTGTTTGTTAAATAATTGATTGATTGTTGGTGAGGAGAAATCCCCCCACACATTTTGGTCAACAGAGGTAAAGCATCTTGTGTTGAGTGAGAGTATATAAAAATAGAAAGAAAAATTTTAAAAAACTCTTTTTTTCCAGATCTTTTTTTTTTCACCTAAAAGCTTTTTCATCCCTTTTCCCTAAACTGTTTTCCTCCATCTTCATGTGGCCACCTCATAACTTCAGTATCACCTAATCTGTCCTCCCTGATAGCCCAACACAGACATGCCACCCAGTCACTATTATAACAAATTTTTATACCACCAATGTTAATTTTATTTTTAAAATACCTGGCTTGGCGCCTGTGGCTCAAGCGGCTAAGGCACCAGCCACATACACCTAAGGTGGCGGGTTTGAATCCCCAGCCCGGGCCGCCAAACAACAATGATGGCTGCAAGCAAAAAATGGCCAGGCGTTGTGGCGGGCGCCTGTAGTCCCAGCTACTTGGGAGGCGGAGGCAGGAGACTCGCTTGAGCCCAGGAGTTGGAGGTTGCTGTGAGCTGTGATGCCATGGTACTCTACCCAGGGGGATAGCTTGAGGCTCCGCTCCAAAAAAAAAAAAAAAACCTATTACCTCTCTAATTTATGGCATTTCTTTATTATTCCCCCTGGCTCTTCCATTCCCACTATAATACAAGCTCCATAAGGCAGGGACCTTGTTTATCTGGAACAGCATCTCATACGTAGTATGCCCTCCAAAACAAACTTTGCTCAATGATCTAAAATAAGAATGAAGGGACAAAGAAAGAAAAAGAGATTTGGTGAAATAATCATCAAAATTTTAAAACTTCAATCTGAGAAGCCTGTATTACACTTACAGACATAGTTTTTAAATGTGTACATATACATGCACGTTCATGTGTCCTCTTTAAGTAAGGTATGCAAATTTAGAAAAGCCCCTTGTGAGAACCTTATATTGGGGTGTAAGAAGTCCTCTCTTACACGGGGTTTGTTTTGAGAAGTAGCACAATGCTTGAGAAAAAGAAAAAGATGTATGTGGCATGTTCTTAGCAATTGAAAGTTTTACTTCTATGTGAAATACTGGTTTTTATTTTTAATGAAGCTTTCTATTAAGAAACTTAATCTACAAAGAGGAAAACTGGGGATGATTCCTAAATTATGTCTATAATATATCAAAAACTTATTCAGTTACTATCCATCTAATCCAATATTAAAAATGACCTCAGATTCATTACTTTAAAATGTATCATAATTTGAGAATATTTTATACTGACAGGGTAGACATTTTTCTCATTTTGAAGATAATTAAACAGAAGCAAAGAAAGCTAAAGTGAATCACTTCTTAGCCATTTCAGCATAATTTATATGAAAATCAAATTTTCCTGATTATTTTTCAAGTCCCCTAAGCTATAACACAAGATAACAGTAGTTTTTATTGCAAATACCATGTCACAGACACAGTGCATGACAGCAAATCAGATTTTTAAATGTTACTTATTAGTGGTAAATTAGAAAAATCTCATTTTTGTATACAATATGCTACATATACATATATACATATATATATATATATATATCTCAAGAGTGTTGGTTCACTGTATATGTATCCATAAGATCTTGGCATTCACATACTTTCTTTACCCCCAAATTTATGTTGTAAATATTAATTATATCAACGTTATATACCAAATTTGGATTCTTATATATTTTCAGGCAACTCACTTCTTCAAGATATTAACAGTTCTCATTATCACATTGACTTGTACAGTTTGTGTATACAAATTATAAAAAGTTGGAGTGTTTACTGGAAAACTTTTTGTTTTATAAAAATAAGACACAAAAAAATAAAAATAGTGATTGCCAAGGTATTGACTACTCACACTTATAGATTGAAGAAACATAATTGATTACTCACACTTAGAGATTGAAGAAAGGGAGAGGGTCAGTAAGTATGGCCATAAGCAGCAACTATTACGCCTCATATGAAGTTTATGTATTCAGTCATCAGAAAAAGAATTAAATATTAGAACATGAAATGGTAGAGATACTTCAGGGAAGAGGTTAATATCTAACAGATCATATATTATTAGTTATTTCACGTCTGTTTAGCTATCTGAGATTTGACTGCTTCATTCACTATGCACATCTATTATTTGAGGGGAGTGAGTCAATGTACATACATCTTTTTCAATGTAAATATTATCTTTGCAACCCACATCATTGAGGAGTACAATTGTATCCTATCTTTTACAGACATATGCACACTTGTGTGCACACATGCACACATACACACACACAAAAATCTTAGAAAATCTTCTCTAGCAGCTACATCAATTAGGCTCAGAATTCCAGGCATAACTTTGTCTAATACCTAACCCTCCTCTTTATTTCTCTCCACACCTGCTCTCATTACCTCCCCAGTCCATCTCGCTTCCCTGGCTCACTTCAGCCAACTATCAGAAGGAGTTGTTTGGTGATCACATATACTACTACTAAATCTGGATGACATGGATTTAAATACTGAAACTGTATTTATTAGTTTCTTGACCTTGAATAATTTACTCAATGTACTTCATTTTCCCCATCTACAAAATGGAAGAGAGTACTCATTTTAGGAATCAAAACACTAATACATCTAAATATTTTTAAATCGTGCTTGCCACATGGTTTAATATTGTAATTATGTGTGTTTTTCAAAATGTAGTCATCCACAATTTTAGTATTCTTTTTCTTAATGTAAACTCATCTTTGCTGTTTAGCAACTAATGAATTTAATTATGCTTTTCAAATTGTACACAACTGGTTGAACAGCTTTGATTACCTCTGAAGTGATAAACTAAAGGATGCAACCTCGAAGCAATTGAAACTACATAAATGTACTCAAGTTAAAAAGAAAAAAAATAATTCTGCCTGCCCAGAGATTCTTCTGAACTCTCCTGGAAATAATAAATATGGATAATCAGAAAAGTACCTTATATATTCTTCAGTTTGAAGCCAGATCATGTAGGCATTTAAAATTAAAACAAGCATCTTGAATTATATTCACATGCACAGCAAAATAAAAAAAATATATGTACCATATTGAGTTCAGATGCAGCAAGCTGAACATGTGCTACAGAGCTAAATGAGTAATGCAATTTTTACACTGGTTCCACGCAAACTTTACGGTTGCAGAAAATAAGGATATGACAAAAAAGCAATCTGGAAATGTCATAGCCAAATCAATAATAAAGAGAAAAAGTCCACCACCTCCTACTCAAATATCAATACAAAATACATTGAAATACTGATTAGTATGCAGAAATGAAGGGTAGGATATTTAAGAATATTAGGACTAACATTTTTGACAAGGCATTCACCCAGATTAGGAAACAGAAATTTAAAAAGCAATTCCAATTTGTCCCTTGCACTTTTTATTTTCTTTCTTCCTGCCTACAAGCCTATGAGCTCACTTGGACTTAAGCCCTGGGAAAAACACCAAGTTGCACAGTGTGGTACAAAAATGCTAAATGCCATTAGAAGTTAATGACCTGACAGCCAAAAAGTGAGTTTTCAACTAATTTCCTGGATCAGGAATAGATTATTTTCCTAGTAGTTGACTACCAAATTCTTCATGGATGTGATTATTCTTCAGTTTATCTGTTTTATTCAGGTAATCTTTCAAAAATATTTTATCCATAGATCAATTAAACTAGAACATGGGCCAAATAAGGCCAAAATTGTGAATCTAATAAAACAAATAGCTTTATTTTTAAATTTCCCATCAATTGTTCTTCCTTTTTCTTGTATTACTAAAAATCCCTGCTAAGGATCAGCTCCTGATAACCTCAACAACAGAAGAAGGACTGACTCCAAGTTCCTAGGAGAAACTTGGTCATGCTTAAGGGAGAAAATATAGATTCTCAAATCATAATCCTTAAGTAACAAAAATATCCATATTAAAGATATTGCAGAAACTGCATTTAACTCTGAAAGAATAGCCAAGTTAAAAAGTCAAGTCAAAAATGAAATGAGAACGCCCAATACCAGGGGAAGATTCTAAGAACTAGACCCAGGTAGGCAGAGCAAGAGGAGTCAGAAGAAAAAGGACAACAAAAAGCATGAAGGCAAA